CCCCCCCCCCCCCCCCCCCCCACACACCCCGATCTGTGATCTGGTTCCTGGAGCTGAAGGCCACACAGAATGAACTGTTAACATCCATATTCTGAACTATGGCTGTGCTGGTTTTGGGGACTGGATTCTTCTGGTTCATTCTTCAGATATTCACACAGCAGACAAGACTCATGGCTTCAGATACACGTCCCCCTAAACTCACTGACTCCTCTGGATAATAAATCTGCTCTATGCAGAGGGTTTTATAAACACCATAGTGTGTCATATTGTTGACATAATATGATGTTTTGTTTTCCTCATCTATCCTTGTGTGGTTCTTAGTTTTTCTGTTAAGGGTAGCACCTCCTCATGATGTCTTCATGAAGATGATCCTTGCTCTGTGCAGGTCTGTGGCTGTATGACCCAGAGCACCTGTTCTCCAATGCTTGTTGTGTTCTGTCTTCTTCTGAATGGCTGTTCTGAACTGTCATTTCATTGTGCTCTGTACGATGACAATAAAGGTTTATTTCATCTCATCTCATCTCATCTCATCTCATCTTACATAGTCTCTCCAACGTGTCCAGGGTCTTCCCTGTGTCTCCTCCCAGTCAGACATGTTTAAAGCAGCTCCCTAGGGAGGCCTCCTTACCAGATCCCCAAAAGCACTTCAACTGGCTCCGCTGGATGAGGGACTTTTGGAATTTTATTTGTTAAATTTTGAACCACGTATAATTTTCTTTTGACTTGATAATTTTGAACTTCCACCCAGTGATGGTTTTAACGAGGTTCTGTGAATGTGAAATTATAATCTGCAGATTTTCTTCAGTTCACTCTTCCTTTGGTTTCAAAGTGCAGGTTAAGAAAGTAGAGTTAAAAATAAAGACTTGCTGATTTTGGACTCACATGGTAAAGTTGGAGATGAAAGCAGAGGAGGGCAGGTCCACTTCAAAGGCTGCCTCTTTAGTGATGGGGAGTTGGTTCCAGACTGAACTCTGGACTGTGGTCACAGCGTAGCGGGACACCACCGTGCACTTCACATGGTAATCTGTCATCTTCAGCTGGTGGCACAACAAACACACAACTGATGAACACCACAGCTAACTGTCTGGAGCAAACACTAATGGCTCTGACTCAGTCAGTTTTACAGTTAGTGACTTAAAACCTAGTGTGGTAGTAGCTGAGAGTCATCCCCAAAATACACCTGATCACACAAGTTCAGATTACAACTTTGACCACTGAATGGATTTTATTGAAACATGTTGTACTTGATGTAAATCTGCAGCTCAGTAACTTTATATTGAACCCAGTTTAACATGGGTTAGCATACAGTGCTAACTGATTTTAGCCAACAGGACTGTGTCGGTCAGTTTGGCAGATGTTGTCCTTTCCTTTCTGTTGTTTGGTGAAACATGAAGATGATTTTAGTTTAAATTTTCAGAGCAGCTTTGTTCCATTATGTAGCTGAAGATGTTTCGGCTGCTGTCAGGGAGCGTTCTCAGTTCAGAACTGGAGCATGAGGAGATCCACACTTTCCAAATATAATTTATATAAGATTGGAGGATCCACGACCGGCTCCATATCTCAGCAGTTCCCGGTGGGGCTGCCCTCCCTGGTGCCTGACGGGACCAGTCTGGTCAGCGCTGGCCACATATGTGCAGGAAGAGGCAACATGCTGGAGGAGGAGAGCCATTTTAGGCCTCAGGTTGTCATGAAAGATGTGGTTTGTGCAGCACAGACAGTTTCAGTGTGTGTTCTCAGGAAGCTGCTCCACAGTCAGCCTGGAGCTGCAGGGAAACTCACAGTGACTGCAGACGAAACGACACTGAGACTTATTCATCTGTCTGTGAAGCTAACGTCACTTTATCTGTGAGGATGAAGGCAGGCTGAGAATGTTTCTGCCAGTGCGTGTGTTCATCTATAGTGTTAGTAAAATATCACATGAACCAGTGGACCAGCACATCTGAACCATCTCACAGCAGTCTATTTCAAAGATCTGAAGCTAAAACAGTGTGGTAGTAGCTGACAGTCATTCAAACACATACATTGGTTTCAAGGTTTAGTTAAAACTATTTGAATGTATCTGTTTCTCAACTAAATGTAGTGTTAAACACTGCTTTAGTGGGCAATATACAAATTATAGCTGCTGTCCTTGTGGCGCGCTAATAAAGCTAGCAGGTAAAAGTCATGGCTGCCTCTGGGGGAGCCAGCAACAAACCCCACCTAACGACCCCTCCCACCCAAGCCCCAACCACCACTTAATCAGGTGGGGGGTCAGGAGGACCCCATCATCGCACCAAAAATGAGTGGGGTCATATGGACCTATACAGTATGTATATACTGTATACTGTATTTATATATAGTTGGTAAAATAAGTATTGAACATGTCACCATTTTTCTCAGTAAATATATTACTAGAGGTGCTAATGACATGAAATTTTCACCAGATGTTGGTAACAACCCAAGTGATCCATACATACAAAGAAATCAAACCATAAATGTCCAGAAATGAAGTTATTTGTAATAATGGAGTGGCACAGGAAAAAAGTATTGAACACAAGAAAGGGAGG